CACGCGGCGGACAACTCTATCTCAGTGGACGGAAAACTTGAGAATGGGTTGAGGTTTGCGTGGAAAGTATCGGTACATAACACGGGCGGGAGTCTCAAAGTGAACGGTGCGGTCATTGAGTTCAATGAGTGCGACTCATTGGTGCTAATACTGAGCGCCGGCACTGATTATGTATTAGACGACTCGAAAAAGTTTAAGTCCGGCGAAGACCCTCTCAATCACGTGAACGACTGGATCTCAAAGGCGTCCCAAAAGTCATACGACGACCTCCGGAGTCAACACTTGAATGACTTCCACGGGTGGTTAAATCGTGTTGACCTGGATTTGGGACAGTCGTCGGACCAGCAGAAAGGGATGCCTACAATTAAACGTAAGGTCGAAGCGGTCAATAAATTTGATCCCGACTTCGAGGAAACCTTTTTCCAATTCGGACGGTATCTCATGATATCGTCGTCCCGTCAAATACTTCCCGGCAATTTACAGGTTAGTCTCAAATTGTTCAAGATCATTTTATAAAGATTAACTAGATTTAAAATTTAAATGCTTGAAATAAGTCATGTTTTATATTAATAATAAAATATAATTTCTTATTATTTATATTATATAACTTTATCAATTAATCTAGATAAATAAATGTACTTAAACTATATAATTTCATATTTTCATAATGATTGTTCATATGACCAGGGCCTATGGAACGACAATAATAGCCCGGCCTGGCACGCAGACTATCACATGGATATTAATATAGAAATGAACAACTGGCCCGCAGAGATAACTAACCTTGCTGAATGTCATATGCCACTATTCAATCTGATTCGCAGTCAACTGAATAGTTGGCGCAAATGTACGCGAAAATCAGATGTATTGCTCACACCTCTGGGCAAACACTCATCAAAAGGTGTGGCCGTTGCCGGTCAGCACAATATCTACGGAGGAATGGGAACAAAAATGGACTGGGATAAGACAAACACGGCTTGGTATGTGTCATAAATAACTGGTTCATATATGCCTATTTAATAATTTTTCGATTTAACCACCCTCCCCTCCCCTTCCCTTCCCCCACTCCACCTCTGACCACATTATATCATAAATATAACTCTCATAATATGGAGTCATAAAAAATATTCACAAATTAATGATTTTTGAATATATCTCGAGCACAGGTATGCGCAACACTTTTGGGAACATTACGCGTTCGGAATGGATAAGACATTCCTGAAGGACATCGCCTACCCTTTCCTGAAAGAGGTGTCGGAGTTTTGGGACGAACAGCTCAAGACTGTTACGAAAGGCACTAAAGAACAGATCGGAAAACTGGTTGTCCCTAACGGGTGGTCATCAGAACACGGACCCCATGAGGACGGATGCAGTTATAATCAGGAAATTGTATGGGATTTGTACACAAATTACGTGAAAGCGGC